TTCTACCACTAACTTTGCTTTAAAGTAGGAACTCTGCCATTTCTCTAGTCCGGTGTCATTTGTCTGAAAACATAGCTGACCACTGCAGTTGTTTTGATTTTTCCATCCCTATAGACCATTCATAGAATATGCCCATAAGACGAAAGAGCCAAAAGTATACAAACTTCCATGCCTAATAAAAAGTAATGAGTTTTTCCTTGAGAAACTTAATATGTGTTTGATGAGCCATAGTAAAAAAAAAATAGGTAGTCATTGCTTGACAGTATAAACCAATTTTAATCTTTCTTAATATGTGACTTTTAGGGGAGCACATGGATCTTAGAAATGCTGTTCTCTCCTATCAGTAAGTAGGTCCAACAATGATGAGATCCTCAAATAACATGTAATAAGTTTTAAGACAGCCTCTACTAAGCAGAAAGAGAGGGGTATATTGAAAATTTGGGAAATTAAGAAAGATTAAAATATTGTAAGTACAAGTATAGTCAAATGGATATGAGTAAAAACGAATTGATATGGCCACACTCAGACATAGTCAAGTACACATAAATCACCAGTCCCTCAGTCGCCACCAAATATCTTCCTCATGAAGTCAAAGACTCTTACCTATTTTGAAGAGATCATTTCCTAGGAATCCAGGAACAATCATGTGTGCATTTTGCCCTCAATTATCTTATGAGTATATTTACATGTAAATTCAAAGAATGTTTTAAAAGGAGAGAGGTGTTGGGAGAAGGGATGGAGAGAGAGAGAGAGAATGAGAGAGAACCCACTTGCTATTATCTCTATATTATATATTTGTAGCTGCATCTGATCCCTAGAGTGTATCTGCAACTTCCAAACCAATATTATAGAAGCTACAGAGACCTTTGCAGAGCGACAGAAAATCTGAGTTATGTGACACTTTCCCAGGTGAGGTCAAATATGGTTGTATGGCCATCTTTTCCCAGCTGTGTGTTGTATACATCTTTTAATGATCTGCTTAGTAGCAGAATCCCTGGTTTGTACTTTTGTTGATTTTGCTCTTTGAAAGAGCCCCAGAACAGTAATGAATAGTCTCTAGCATAACACTGCAATATGCCTTTCAGAGAAAATGTGTTAGATAAGCTTAATTCAGGCATGAATTATGATGATGATGTTCCTCATTAATTTAATTTTAATGAATCAACAAAAAGCTTATCTAGAAAAAGGAAGAGAAATGTGTTTTGTGCTACAAGAATGTACCAACAATTGCTAACATAATGTCTGTAGCATACACCAAAACCATAAAAAAAAAGCTAAATGATTCAGGGTTTTGTCATTAGAAACAAAAACCACAATGAATGTCAAAGGAAATTCTAATAATCTGTTCTACTACTGCTGTCTCACATAGTTTCAAGGGTGATATGATATTAAAAATCCTAAACCTACAAGCAAAGAAAGTTGCTCAAGTCAGGAAGCTGTTGAAAATAACTACTAAGTGTCACATGGGAAAAGCATCATGTAGAAAACATGTTCTAATACTGATGAGACTGGCATTCCTTACAGGTACTTCTGCAAACAAACTTGCATAATATATGTGGCCTTCAAAGCCCTGGCTTTGAATGATTCAAAGACCTTACAGTCATTTGTAAGAGCTATATAGGAAGCACAGCTCAGAATAAGCCTTGGAGAAACAAGTATTGTCAATAATGCAGGCCTGTTTTCTTCAATAAAAGGAAATGAATGATGCCTAGTCACCTGGAATGCCAGAGTGAAAAGTGGTCCATCAACCTAGTGATTCTTTGCTATTCTATTAGGAGTCAAACTCCCCTGAATTCCCCCAGTATTCTGAACATTGTATAGGCCCTAATCTTGCAGTGAACAGAACACATCCCTATGAGATAAGGTCCATGTACTTTGCATCCTTCACCAATAGAATCTATCTTTATTCTTATCACAGATCCTTCCTCTAGGCCCTAGTACTGAGCTCTGTTTATCAGCCAAAAGAAATCATTCTTATTGTAAAGGTCACATGTGGTTGATAGATTGTGCACCCCAATAAACTTATCTGGTGGTCAGAGAATAGAACAGCCACTATATTAAATACAGAAGTTAGGCGGTGGGAGCACATACCTTTAATCCTATCACTCAGGAGGCAGAGTTCTGTTTGGATCTCTGTGAGGTCAAGGCCACACTGGGAACAGAGCTGGGCATGGTGGCACACACCTTTAATCCTAGCACTTGAGATCTCATGTCTTTGCTCAGGAAGGACACACGACTTTAATCCCAGGAAGTGATGGCAGGAAGCAGAAAGGTATGTAAGGCATGAGGACCAGGAACCAGAGGCTTTTAGCAGCAGTTCAACTGAGACCCTAAGGGGTGAGGACTCAGAGGCTTCCATTCTGAGGATTCATGGAAACAGGATCAACTGAGGAGTTGAGTTGTCAAGGTGAAGTTGGCTGTTTCTCTGATTGTTCAGCTTTCACCAGTATCTGGCCCCAGGTTTTTTGTTTGTTTGTTTGTTTGTTTGTTTGTTTGTTTGTTTTATTAATAAGACCTTTTTGGATTTGAGTTACAATCACAGGTCACAAGTTCTCCTGTGTTTAGATGTGTTAAAAAAAAAAAAGTAAACCCAAAGGTCAGTCCCTGGGGGTCTTGACCCAGTGTCCACAAAGATGGTACTGTCCTGAGTCTCATTCTTCACCTCTTGTGTGGATCCTTACCCCACAGGCTGTGAGGGTTGTGGGGGGTCCCCGACAGAGCTATGTATTAACGTGATATCATTAAACACAGCACAGAAAACAAGACAATATACCAATCAGCTGAGGAAAACTGTTGACATTAAACATACAGGAACCAAATCATGTTTCCCCTTGAAGCAATTGCTTCTTATTTGCTGATCCTGTGTTTATGACAACACAGAAGGTAGGTACCAGAATAACACAAGAATCGACTGCTCTCAATCACAGAATTTAATCCCTAACTACATAAACAATGGTGCAATGGAAGCTTGGGAGTAGTCTTACTGGATTTTAAAAGAAAGATCACAGGCAAGGCAAGCTGTTGCCTCAGTGGCAGCCAGAAAAGATGAAGAAAAGGGCAATGATATTTGAGTTAAGCTGGCATGAAGGTCAGCCATATGGTAGATAAATAGCTACAAGGTGGGAAGAAGAAGTTAAAAAAAAAGACTAATGAAGCCTAAAGTATAAGTAGGCTAGCCAATATTTAAAAGAAAAAGAAAAGAACAAAAAGGAAAAATTTATGGATTTCTAAGAAGGTGGGCAGACCCAACAAAATCTTATGGCAGTTTGTAGGGACTTAGCTAAAGGGAAAGAATTTTGGGAAGAAACATATTATTTTATTAAAGGAATAATTATTCCTCCTACCTCATTAGCATAGCTTAAGTTGAACCAGTCCTGCATCCTGCTGTCCTGAAGAGTGGTACCTTGAACGGTTATTAACCTTCTCAATTGGAATGTTATATCTCCACCCAGGCTGGAGGTGTCACTCTTTTGACCAGAAGGACATAGTTTTCCCTTACAATTGCTTCAAGGGGAAACATGATTTGGTTCCTGTATGTTTAGTGTCAACGTTTCCCTTACCGACAATCCTGATCCCAATCCTTACACTGCCTGCCAATCTTATTTTTATTTCCTATCCTCATCATCCCAAGCTCTGAAAAAAAAAGACTTCTTCCTGCTAGGTGAGTTAAACAGACCTGGCAATTGCCTTACAACTCCAGTGGATTTATCTAGGAGACCTCAAAAATTCATCAGTGGATACATTAGTATAACAACCATGTACAGGCCGAAAAGGAGGTCTGTGACTGGTGCCTCAATAGAGATGTGAGGGAGAAGCAAAGGCAAAGTTGTTAGCATTACAGGTAATATCTACAAGTAATAGCTAGACAAGCAAAAGGTAGAGAAGATATTTTTAAATGTTAGAATCTCCTGATGGGCCCATAACGGCATTCATCCATCATGCTTCTCCACATTATTTTTCTTTTAGCCTCTGAGACTGAACTATAGAGTGATGAATCCAGGAACTGATTTCAGGCATTTTATAGCTGCTGGAATGGCTAGAGTTACAATGTGAGATCTGTCCCAGATGACTCTAAAGGAGAAAGAGAAGAAATTTAACTATCATTTGATTTGTAGATTAAAACAATAATGTACTTTTTTCTCTTGGCCAAAGGTAGGCAATGTAGTAAACTAAGGTCATGATGTCCTATATATGGGGAACATTTCCCTTATCAAGAAGAAAGTCATTAGTGAGAAATAGTTCTATAAAGAATATATATTTAAGCCTACTGCCTGGAAAGCACCATCCCTTGAACTATCAAATAAACATACCAATCACTTTAATCTTTGCTTATACTTTCCTGTTGCATATTTAAGACCAGGTAGATAGCAATATTCAACCATTTTTCTTTGTGTGTGTGTATTTCAAGGTCAGTTGAAGACCTAATCCATGAGATCCAGCTATCTTAGGACAAATTTTATCAAATACAAATCCTTTGCTAAAACTATATTCATTTTTACATCCTTATAATATTTCCTTTTGCTTCATGATTATCTTTCATTTTATTTTTTTCTTAATACAATGATAAATAGTAACAATAATAAATAAATTTAACATTTTATTAAAAGAAAGTTAAATATAAACTACATACATAGCATAATATAATAAATGAAAACTACCTGTGTACATATTATTAAACTATGAGGCTTTTTAAGTTACAGGATACCATAACCCATAGAAAACACAAACCAATCAAAAGTATATTTCTGTTCTGTACCATATATGAAGGACCTATCATAGCCATGCTTCTAGTTTTGAATGAGTACAAATAGCAGATAAAGATACAAAGGCACAGATTCAGAACAGAACATCATCAAACTGATGTTTAGAGCATCCAACAGAAATTAACTGAAGAATCCTTGTTAAAGCCATCATATTATAGTTGGTTGCCCCAACGGGTTCTCGACCACCCTAAGGAGGGAATGTAGGGACAGGAGATACAAAGGAAAACACACCAAGTCTAGATTCTGATCAAGGTGCCACTTTATTTCCTTCCACAAGGATTTATATAGTTTCTGCAGGGTGCGGGGAGCAAGAAGCTGTCATCTGCATAAGGTAGGGCAAGCTAACAGGATGTTTGTATAGGATGTTTACAGGGTGAGAGGGTCAAGGGCTCTGACTCAATGTCCTATTGCTAGGCAACCTGACTGTAAGCTGATCTAGTTGCCTGTCTTATGAGAGGGGGTCAGTATTTTTCCACTAACTAGAGATTCTGTCCTTGTCCCTGACAGTTGGTGGTTGAAGTTTTTAGACTAACATTCTTTTCTATCCTCTCCATGGATGAATATCCCATTAGCTGTTTCTGCTACAGACATCTTAATGTCCATTTCTAATTTTCCCGTAGCAGCCTTCAAGGGCAGTGTCTTCAGTCCTGAGCTGTTTTGTTGGTCTCCTTTTTCTCTGTCACAGATGCGGGATGGCAGCTTGACTCAGAGCAGGTGGCTGTATAGAAAACCTTGAGACTAACATGGCTGGGTATGGCATGAGACGGCCGAGTCCCAGCTCGAGTGTCAGCGTCTTCGTGAACTTAAACGGCACATGATAGTTTACTGATATAATGTATTCACAGAAGCATTTACCCCTCTGTAAAGATGAAGATAGCAAATGTCACTTTTTAAATCATCAGAAAAGAGAGAATAAATCTACCAAGCGGTTTACACTAGACAGACTTACTGTTGAGTCCCTGACCAGATGCAAAATGCCTGTCCTGTAATCTGTACATCAAATATTGTTATTGAGATTTGTCCAGATGAGTCTTGTCGTCTGCTGGGTTACACATCAGGAATGGGACTGACAAGAGACAGAACGATTTTTTTTTCCTTTACAGGGTCATCCTCTGATGGCTTTAAACTTTTTAGGGTATGGATACACAGAAACCAGAACTCATGTTCAAGGGGTATCAAGCTGACAAATGTACCTACATTTACCTCTATCTACCTTGAGCTACTAGCAGGATATACTTGGGATGAGAGTCTGTACCCACAGTTAGTTACCATGTATCTGTCATGGAGGCAGACAGCTTGAAAAACTTAATGAGGGAGAGCCTTCCCTCCTACAAAAAAAAAAAAAATACAATAGTATGGTTGACATTTCGCATTAGAGGTCAATTTCTTGTTTTATTCGCTAGCTCAAATTTAAGCCAGGTGTGTGTCCATATAACCATCAGCACTTTCTTTTGGAGTTCTGGATAAAACTGATACAGTCCATGGGTGCATCTGTAAGACAAAAGGAACACATATTATAATGACTTCTGTATCTTCCTTGTCTTCCCCTCCAGGATGTTCTCTGTGGATTTGCTTGTCCCTCCTTTCTCTCCTGTAAGTGACCACAAGGAAAAGAGATAACTGTTTATATGACTCTATATGACTCCAATTTCCAGTGACCTTGATGAATCCTTTTGAATTTTGTTTGGTTAATCTTATCTTGCCTGTGCAGGACTCACCATCCAAAACAAATCTTTGGAGTAAATATTAACTCTCATGCATTAGGGAAGTTAGCCAATTTTTAGTGATTACAGGAGTCTAGGAAGATCTCTGATTCCTTTGGTTTGAACCTCTAATGTATGTTTAATATTCACTCTGACCCTTTACCTCAAATTCCTAATCTGCTAGTCCACATTATATTTCTCAATCAAGAGAGCACAGAAACATGATAGTCCTCAGGACAAATTCCCCACTTAAAGAGAGCTACCGGTCAGGATGCCTGGATTAGGAGGGCTTCTTTGTAATTTACTTCATATAACTTGGATTTATGGCCCCATAGTCTAGAGCATCAGTTCTCAACCTTTGGGTTGCAACCCCTTTGGGGGGCTCACATATCAGACATCCTGAATATCAGGATATTTACATTACAATTCTTAACAGTAGCAAAATTAAAGTTACATAGCAGCAGCAAAATGATTTTATGGTTGGGGGTCACCACAACATGAGGAACTGTATTAAAGGGTCACAGTGTTAGAAAGGTTGAGAACCACTGATCTAGAGAATACCAAACCCCCAAAAAATGTCTAAAAAAACACTTGAAAAGAAATAGTATCCAAATGCTCTTTTTTCTTAGCCTGCCTTTAATAGCAACTGGAAAGTGAAAGCAAAAACATGGGTATCCAGACCATAATGTGGCAGAAATAAAAGCAGAGAACAAGTGCGGCACAAAGGGATCTCAAGTGCGGAAAGAATGTTCTTTCTCGGTTCAGGGTGCAAGGCAGAAAGAGTTGGCATTGAGACCCTGCAGAATAGTGTCTCCACCCCTGCTATAGGCTGTCCCAGCTTCCTGCTGACAGCAACTTATTTATCACTTGGCAATCTATCATTTGGGTCTCAACTGGATCTGTGCTTTCCCAGACTCAGCCCTGGGCTGCTGAAAATTTACAAGAGCTTCATAAGTCTTGCAATCTCAAAGCATAAGTTCTTCTTGGTGATTAGCCAATGTTGTAGGCACATATCTGAGGCCATCTTCAAGTTCCCTTTAAAATCCAGCAGATACATCATCTGAAAAATAATGTGCCACAATCCAAGGAACCCACTATGGAGTCTGGTATTACTTTAGTCTGATATAAGAAATCCACTGAGCTTATCACATGGTTATAGGGCCCATGTTGGATTCCAGACTGGGAGGCCTAGTCATGTGATTCCATTTGGCACCCAGAGAGGTGAAAACCTAAAAATATATATTAGGAGTAGAGAATTAAGATGTATGACTGAATGCCTATGGCACAGAAAATTCTAGGCATATGGTGATTGCCTAAGAGCTCAGCTACTCTGGGAAATTAATTGCTAGCCAAAATGGTGGCCAAGTTACATATTTGCTTTCTGCCTAATGAGCTCAGCTCCATGATGAAAAGACGCCTCCAGAGTATCTTGCGTGCATCTCACAGATTAAATGTGGACAGTCACCCCTTTTTTCTTAAAAGAAAAAGAAAATTGACATCATGTTGGGTCAACATGAAGAACAAAGAAAGAAGTGAGCAAAAGAGCAAAGCAGAGTAACAGAGGAGGAAGGAAGGCATCCTTGTGTCTTACTACCAATTGCATTTGGGGTTGTGAGCCTAGTTTTTAATGGCTGAGTTATGTCTCCAGCCCTCATAACTGGGAACACCAAATAGTGATCTCTCTTCATCTCCTATGTTCAGTTAATTTTTGAAAAGGACGCCATAAAAGAAGCAGGAGGAATGGGGAAGTGTGCCCGATGTCTGCAGGTGGTATTGTTGCTTTGTAAGCACATGAAGAAACTGGGAAGAAGAAAGTAACCTTGACATCATTTTGTCCCATTCAAGCATGGCATGAGATCATACAGACCCTCTGTCCTGAAGAGAATTGAACTTTCTTGAAAAGCAATTGTTGAACATCACTAATCCTGATTGAAAACCTTATCAGCATTATATTGCACTTTCATCCAGTTAGGAAAGCAACTGCCTAGCGGCACGTGAACTAAAGCAGTGCTGGTGCCCACTGTCTGTGGCCAGGGAGCTAAGGCATCAAACCCATCTGTTAGTTTCACTCCCTTCCTTCAAACTTATCTGAAGTTTCCCTAGCTCTCGGAGGGTAATTTGATGGTGAGGGAAAGAGGGAAGAAACAATGTGAACTTAAACTTAGCAACATGTACAACCCACCACATGGTCATCAGTCAACCATCAACATATGGGAAAACAACCCAAGAAAGAGAAACATTATGTGTTCTCTATATCCAGCCATTTTCCCCAAGAAAGGAAGCTTGGGAAAAATGGAGAATGAGAGGTCATTTTCCTTCTCTGAGGAAAGGAGTGTATAGACTCTAGGAAAGACAGACCATTAGTTAAAGGAATTTACCTAAGGTCCTGGAGTATGGTCACCTGTTTTATCCTCAGAGGAGTTTCTGTAATATCTCTATTCAGCACACCAAATATGTTATCAGAACATTTGGGATGTCCCAGGGGAGTTGCCATATGATAAAGAGGAATCAAGGTCTCCCTCTTAGGGATCTTATGCTCAATTTATAAAATAATTTTAAAATGGACTCAAACAGAAGTACAATGAGAATATTATTAGAGTTTAAAAGAAAACTTTCAGGGTAGGCAAGCTGCTGATCTCTGTAGCCTCTCAGAGGAAGAAGATGCAGGAAAGGAAGAGAGGAAGCCATGCCATTTGTTTTAACCCTGTATTGAGGTCAACCTCACAGCAGACACGTAGCCATATGGAGTTCCAGTCTTCCATGTTCTTCCTGCAAACCAAGTCAAAGGCAATGACCGAATCCCAGGAAATTCTATTTTCTCAATCAATTATTTTCTTGTGGTGGTGACATAGTACATGACAGAATCAACTTTTCTGAAGAGAGGTTCACTGGGATTCACAGCATCAGAGGTAACTAATGCTCCATCATCACTGGGATTCACAGCATCAGAGGTAACAGACAAAAAGATCATTTTAAGCCAGATGCTTCCATTCCCATTTCCAATAAAAAATACAGTTCAATATGTGGAGTGAGTAGAAAATTTCTTAATAAATAAAATAAACAAATAAATAAATAAAAAATGTCCTCAGAGTCTAAAACTAACACAATTCCAGATTTATTTACTGAAACCTCCTATATAATCAAAAGTAAGTTATGTGTTTCCAACATATAATGGCACAGAACAAACATTCCACTTCAAAGTGAAAACACATGGATATAACAAACAAACAAAAAATTAAAACTAAGCAAAACCAAGACCCAGCAGGTTTAAAGCACACTAGCACCTCTATATCTGTCATCTGGAGTTCACAATGCAATCCTCTGAGATCCAAAGGTTGTGGGCAGACCTCCTTGAGCTCTGCCACCTGATGCACACAGCACTTCTTTAGAAGTAATCTTAGGCAAGCTCCACCCAGCAGCTGCAGCTTTCCTTCAAACATTTTTCACTGCCTTGGCATCTCTGATACTTGGGTGTCCCCATTGCAACAGATGTTTCACCTTTGCAACTTTACAAAATGACCCCTCAGGACCTTTCCATGTGGACTCTGACACTTCCTGACTCAGTTTCTCTCTGTGGCCACCTCAGTCTTGTATCTTCCATGACTGAAACAAATCCTACCTAGATATTTACAACATTGTCATGTTCCACTGCCACCTGAAAATGTAGCTCAGCTCCCTTGAACCACAGCGGCATTGCCTCTGTGTGCTGACCCAGAAGAAATTCTTTCCTATTGGCCCAGTGATGTGCAGATGTCTGTACCATGGTCTGACCCCTCTATCAATTACAGCTGCTTCTTCAGTTCAAGCCTGTGAACTATCCTGCCTAGAAATCTCCTGTGCTTTAAATTCAGCTTTACTCAAGTTCTAAGGATGGGCAGAATGCAGCCTGGTTCTTGACCAAAATATCATTGGAATAGCATCCATTCCAGTTCATGATGGAGTCCTTGTCCTCCTATGAAAACACGCAAGCTAGGCTTCCACTACGTTTGTCTCAGTATTCTTGTCTTCCAACTTCTCCAAGGATGTCTCATTATGTTCTCCCCACAGCAGTCAACAGCTTTACTAGCCCAAAGTTCCAAACGGTTCTACTTTAGGTTTTGTTTTGTTTTGCTGTTTCTGTGATAAAATACTACTTAATAAGAAGACTTCAGAGAATACAGGAATACTATTGCAAATACCCCCAACAAAAGCAACTACAAGGAGAAACGGTTTATTCAGCTATGAATTCCAGGTCATAATCCATTATTGTTCAGAGGTAAAGATGGGGGATTGAAGCAGCCACTGATATCCTGAGTCAAGAACACAAAGAGAATTAAAGCATCCATTTAACACTCCGATCACTTTATCTTCTTTTATGCAGCCCAGGACTGTCCTGGTTTGCTTTTTATTGCTCTAATAAATGCCATGACCAAAAGCAACTATTTCATCTTACAGTTTACAATCATCATAAGGAAAAGGATAGATAAATTTAAAAAAAAAAAGTTATAACTAATATAAGAAAAACTATATACAATAAGTATAATAACCATATATACAAGCAACAAATACATCAAAAATGTCTAGTCCATTTGCATTTGACAAAGTCAGAGAAAATATTCCATTATCTATCCTATTTTGGTAAGTCCAAAATGTATCTGATTCACTTTCTATCCTAACTTACATTACTAACAGAGAACTATCTTATAATGTCTTTCAAATTTATACATTTTACACCTCTTCAGTGAGTTTCTTTTCTGAAATTATTAACAAGGAAAACTATAACTGTAACTATCTAATCTTCAACTCCCTCAGAGACCCAAGAAGGAAATAATATGTCTTTCTTCCTTTCTTTCTGTCAACCCTTACACAATCTGGAGTGATCTTGGAGAGAGATGGGTTCATTATCTCACAAGGATATAATATTACCTAAGTAAACAGGAAGAGCATTGTAAGCAACTTCCAAAACTCTTGCTTGATAACTGTTTTGTTATGTAATTTTACTATGTTAAAGATAAGCCCTTCCTTTTTGATTAGACAGAAAAGGGGAGGTGCTGTGGGATGTTCTGTATGCTGTGAATGTGTTTCTGTGATTGGTTGATAAATAAAAAGCTGATTGGCCAGTAGCCAGGCAGGAACTATAGGCTGGATAAACAGACAAAGAGAATTTTGGAAAGTGGAAGGCTGAGAGAGTAAACGCCAGCCCACTATCCAGGGATCAGCACGTAACAACACACAGGTAAAGCCATGGGACATGTGGCAACATATAGATGAACAGAAACGGGCTGAGTTTCAGTGTAAGAGCTAGTCAGTGGTAAGCCTGAGCTAATGGCTGAGCAGTTTTAAGTAATATAAGCTTCTGAGTGTTTACTTGATTTGTCCCAACCATGGGCCAGGCAGGACACAGAAAAACTTCAGTTATAAAAGACAAAGAGAAGGAAAGAGAGAGAGAGAGAGAGAGAAAGAAAGAAAGAAAGAAAGAAAGAAAGAAAGAAAGAAAGAAAGAAAGAAAGAAAGAAAGAAAGAAAGAAAGAAAGAAAGAAAGAAAGAAAGGAGAGAAAGAAAGAAAGAAAGAAAGAAAGAAAGAAAGAAAGAAAGAAAGAAAGAAAGAAAGAAAGAAAGAAAGAAAGAAAGAGAGTAGGGAGGGAAGAAGAGAAGAGAAAAGGAGAGAGAGAGAGGAGAGGCGAAGCAAAGAAAAGAGAAAAAGGACTCAGACTCCCGGAATGGTGCTGCTCACTTTTAAACTGGATATCCTCATATCAGTTAATATGATAAATACCACAAATAAGTCCACATCCCAACTTGCTCTGATCAGCATCTCTTTAAACCTCTCTTACTGTGTAATCCTAGATTTCATTAAGTTGGCAATTAAAAATAACCATTCATCACAGAAAATAATCTTGCTACTTTAAAGTCTGCTTTAATACAGCCTTAATTCTAGATACAGCTTTAATTTCCCTTGACCCAAACCTAATATATCGACAGTCTTTGTGTAGTAGGAAATAGAGTCATTGGGGAATCATTATTCTGTCTAAAATGGTAATAGTTAATATTCAAATTTCATTTTTTTATTTCAGGATAGCCAAAGCAAAGAAAACTTATAAATGACCACCTTGCTAAATCCTATCATTAATGCACAGTTTCTACAATGTAGAAAAAGGTTTTGTTAACAGTATTTGTGAAAACATTTTATCAACAAAGTCTTTAATATAAGACAGTGAATATTATAATGAACCATGGCATCACATCACAGTTCATCTCTTTTACAAAGGGAAACTAATTATGTTTCATATGTCTTTCATTGGCAGTAGAACTTGCAAAGGCATATCATTAGGCATTATTTTGAAGAGTCTTCTCATTTGAAAAATGTTCTTCATGCTGAGTATTTGCCTTATTCCAAAAAAACTTCTTTAAATTAATTAGAACTCTGGTGACAGGCAATCAGTGAAGAAGCTCATTAGCAAATAAAAGGATCTCAACCACAGAAAATTTAAGTAAACCCACTATTTTTTATATATCATGTATTTATCTTTTAGTTTTATTACTTTATTCCCTTTTTAATTTTAAACATTCTTAATAGAATTACATTTCTTTCCCCAATCCCTTTCTTCCCCCATCCATTCCAATGACCCCCTACTCTCAAGTTGATAACCTCTTTTTCTTTATTGTTACATATATGGATGTGTGTATATAAACATATTATGTATGTATGATTATGTATGCACAAATATATAAATACAACTCACTGCACCTGTTTTTCTTATTTGTATGCATGTGATTTCAGTGTTCACTCCCTTGATTTGGATCACCATTAAGGGGGCTCATCCTTGGAAGAAGCTGGTTTTCCCTCTCCCAGCAGTCATTAGTTCCCTGTGGTTCTTCTAAAACTGGGACCCTGGACAATTTTTCCCTGTTTGCCATTGCTCTGATCTTATTTATGCAGTCATGTCTTGGAGAGACTGTGTCACAGCAGACTTTCTGGTACTCTGGCTTTTACAATATTTTCACTCCCTCTTCTGTGATGTTACCTGCTCCATAAATGCAGGAGCTCTGCTACAGATGCAGTTATTGGTTCTGGGCTCCCTTCGATCTGTTGATCTCTGAATTATGTCCAGTTGTGGTTTTCTATGATGGCTTCCATTTGCTGTACAGAGATGCTTCTTTAATGAGGGGTGGCAGCTACATTTATCTGTGGGTATAACAAAAAAGAATCAGAATGTAGTTAAGGAATCATGCAGGTCTACCAAAGTAGCAGTAATATAAATTCTTTTCTAAGATCCATAACCTCATTATCTCCAGGAAGTTGGCTAGGTTTTATTACTAGGCTTGGTTTTACCTCCAGTTGAGAGGGCCTTAAGTGCAATTAGACAGCTATTGGTTATCACCAACATGTGAGTTGCAAATACCTTGGAATGATGGCATTGTTGTGATTCATAGGCATTTGTTGCTTCCCTCCCTTGTAAGTTTGCATAGTTTTTTCTGTACCACGGAAGCTAGACCACAGACAGGAGACTTTCAGGTTAACTCCACCTCAAATTATCCAAGTCCTATGGCCTAGATGTTCAATGTCTTCAACAATAAAGGCTTTAACTTCAACTCCGAGAAGCAACCAAGGACTGCACCACTAGCCTATATTATTTAGAGAGTCAATCATTTGGACCACTATGACCAACCATTTGAGAGGAGGTACTGAGGCTTTTGTTAGTCTATGATTCTTGTGGGGATCATTGTAATTCCAAGTGGCATAACTTAGATATACACATATATCTCTATATAGATACAGAGATATATGTATTATGTATTAATATGAGATAAATGTATCAAATAACATTGGTACTCTTCTTCATCCCTCCTTCCCCTTCTGTATTGACTACTCTTTACCCTCCCCAGTTGATGCCTCCTCCTTGTTTTTCCATTTCCCACTTCATATCCTGCTATTCGTCTCTCAAGGTCCCCCCACATCTCCCCATCCTACAGTTGCTGTATTCTTTTGTGGTTTCTGTGGTTACTCCATGTTGTATACACACATCTTAGGACTTAGAGCTATGAACCAAAGAAGAGAGCTAACACATGGTGTTTGTCTTTCTGAGTTTGGCTTACCTCACACAATATAATCATTTAGGTCCCTCCATTTACTTGAAAAGGTCCTGATTTTGTTTGTCTTTACAGCTGACTAGTATTCCACTGAGTATATGTACCACATTTTCAATATCAATTTGCTGATTGAAGCATATTTAGGTTGTTTCCATTTCTAACTGTTGTGAACAGAGTAGCAATGACCATGGCTGAGCAAATATCTGTGGAGTAGGGTATCTAGTCCGCTGCACATATGCCCAAGAGTCATGTAGCTGGATCATATGGAAGATTAAATTTAGTTTTTGAGGATCTTCACTGATTCTTGAAATGCCTCTTCCTATTCTAAACAAGTGGCAAACTCATTTTAGTGTAGCTTAATCATAGAATACAATTATATATGTTTATATACATATATATTTGTGTATGTATATATATAAATATATATATATACACAAAATGGAAGTGGATGCAAATTTTATTTATAAAATACTATAATGCAGGACTTCATAAAATGTTTCATTTTTGTCCAGTTAATGATCTAATGTGTTGTATGGAATAAAATTCTCTTAAAATATTAAGGTTTATTTCCTTTATGTATACTGAGTTTTGGGTCCTCTAAAGAATAAGGTAATGATGACAAATTAAAAAAGATAAATTAGTATAGGTAACTGGTTGTTATCTATAAAAAGACTTTACGGAATATAAGAATACCATCAAAAGATACAAAAGATTCTTTGTATGTATTTGGATGGATAAAATTATATTTTTATCCTTAAAAGGTTTTTCTTTTTAAGGTTTATTTGTATTCCTTCCTTTTAATTTATCCAATTTGTTCTCTGACAATTTTACACACATATAATCTACATCCTAACCATTTTCAACATCCACTCAACCTTATTTCCTTATTAACCCTATCTACTGCCATTCTTCTCTACAAATCTCTTCCATACATTCATGTCTATTGTTTTGTTTTTAAGCCCAATGAGTTTAACTATGGCCATCTGTGTGGCAATGGGTTTGTACTTATCTATTGAAGCCATGTGGGTTTAGACATGAGTACACAACTAAAAACAATTGTGCCTCCTCTCCCAGAATCTAACAATACTCTAAAGGTGATCAACAAGTGATAGCATCCCATGGTATATGAATAAATGAATGTTGGCAGGATCTGTCTTATGTGGCCCTACTGAAGGTAATTGTAGATGTTATTAGTTCACCATAGTTATGTCCAGTCTAGACTAAGGCATGACATAGCATTTTACCTATCTTCTGGCTCATGAATACTTTCTGCCCCATATTCTTCAATGCTCCCTGTGCCTTAGAGGAGATTTTAAAAATATATTATTTAAAGCTGAGCCCCCAACCTTCACTTGTTCACAGAACCTCACGCAGCACTCAGTCTTTGCATTCACTAACATTCACATCCAGCTTTACCACCAGATATGACACTTCTGACCTCCACAGCCACCTGCATTCACTGTGAGTACCCATAAACACACACACACACACACACACACACACACACACACACACACACACACACTTTTAAATATATCTTGAAAGTGTGTTAACAGGAAAAGATATACTTTACTAAAATTAATCAGAGATCAAGAAGAGGAAGAGAAAAAGATAGAAGCAGGAGGAAACAATGATAACTGCTATGGAATAATCCTCTTGTACATTATAAAGATTTGTAACTCTAATTGGTTTAATAAAACACTGATTGGCCAGTAGCCAAGCAGGAAGTATAGGTGGGGCAACCAGACTAGGAGCATGCTGGGAAGAGGAAGAGCAGAGTCAGGAGTCTCCAGCCAGATAAAGCAAAATGAGAATGCTTCACTGAGAAAAGATACCAAACCATGTGTCTAAGCCTAGATAAGAATTATGGGTTAATTTAAGTGTAAGAGCTAGTTAGTCATAAGCCTGAGCTACCAGCCGAGCATTTATAAGTAATATCAAGCCTCCAAGTAAGTCAATTATTTGGAAAGCAGATGCTGGTTATTTGAGAACAGGCAGGAAGGAAAGAAACTTCTGCCTACAGTTAACCATATTAGTTGGAAAGACTTAAATAGATCAATGTCTTTCCAAAGGTACAACAAAAAGATCAGGCAAAGTTACCAAGGTTAGAACTTTTCTGATGAGAGGGATCTATCAGTTCAGCAAGAAGACAAAACAATGTATATGTATATGCATAACACAATAATGCCAAAGTGTAAAAAGTACAAATTAATGGAGTTCAAGGACAAATGGGTAAATGTTTAGAGCTGGAGGGTTTGGTTTCCCTCTATTAGAAATAGGTTAAGCTAGAAAACAATAAAGTACCTAAGGGTGTAGGTGAACCAAGCAAACATGACCATCGATCAATTCAACACAAAAGCATGATTTGTACATGAATCGCTGAACACATGTAATAAACAATCTTCCCAAATTCACATGCATAATTCATGAACACAGACCACGTGTGGACACTGAAAGCACTCAATAAATTTTAAAATCAGACATCCTATATTGCCTGCTCATAGAACACAATGTAGATAAAGAAGAAATAAGTAACAGAAAATCACTGAATAGCCCTCAAATTATTGCTGATTAAGCAGCTATCCTGTTAAGTTTGATGCTAACTCAACATAAACTAGAATCATTTGGGAAAGGGGATTCTCAGTTGAAAAAAATGCCTCCAAGATTAGCCTGTGGATGAGCTTCTTGTGCACTTTCTTGATTGGTGATTAATGGGGGATGTGGCCAACTCATTATAGGCAGTGCCCTCCCAGAGAGACTCATGGTCCTGAATGCTACAAAAAGATGGGGGTGGCATGAGAATCAAGCCTTTAAGCGGCATGTCTCCCTGGCCTCTGCATCAGTTCCTGCCTCCAGTCCATGCCCTGACTTCCCTTGGTGATAAACACTCTTCTCTCAAAGTTGCCTTTGGTCATGGTGTTTTATCACATTAAAATAGAAAACCTAAGACAGCAGTTAATATATAACAGATACATTAAAGAAGTAGCAAGAAAATTTAGAAATATTTTGAGATAAGTAATATTAATACATTCCACAATATGTAGGGTGCAGAAAAAGTAATGCTCAAAAGAAAAGACAGAATTAAATATATGCATGAGGAAGAAAAACGGAAAATCACTCACCTCATTTTCTCCCTTAGGAAAATGGTAAAAAGACAAATTTAATTTAGATTTACCAGAGCAAAAGGAATTAAAATTACATCAGAAATCAAGACATTAAAAGTAAGACATCAACACAAAAAAAGCAACAAAATCTAAAGCTACATTTAGAAAATATCAGTGATATAGTGAATCTTCTCACTAAGCTATGTAGGGAAACACATGCTTTAGGAATGTCAAAGAAAACATCACAGGATAGTCAAGGAATTTTATGAAAAATCACAGATTTGACAACTATATAAAAATGAAAAATTTTATTTCATCAAGACATACAAGAATCATAACAGTAGAGAAGAGAAACCATGAATGAGGAGAAGGAAAAGTTTCTAACACATACAAAGAAGTTTTAAAATTCAACAATAAGAAAACAAAAAAAAAACCTGTTCTTTAAAAAAAAATAGACAAAAGATTCAAGTAAGTACCTCAGTAAAGAAGATGCCCAGCTTGTATAAAAGTGACTGAAGAGATTTCCAATGCCATATCATTATAATATTACAAATTTGAACCACACCAAGCTACCAGTAAAAAATCTATTAAAATAACCAAAACCATAACATCACCAGCACCATGTGCTGTCTGGGATGTGCAGTAAGGACATCCTCGTTCACTCCTAATGGAAATGAAAAATAGTACAGCTGTTTTGGAAGACAATTTAATTCTTTTTTTAAAATCTATAAATATTCCAGCCATATAACACCTCAATGACGTCCTTGGCGTTTCCTGCAAGAGCACAGTGATTCATCACAGCCTAACTCAAAATGGCCGAAGCTTGGAAACATTGAAGATGTCCTTCAATGCAGATGTCATTAAAAAAAAGAACTTATTAGAGTGTATAATTAACATAAGCTAATGAAAAACAAATTTTAAAAATATGCTTCTCAGTAGATAAATGCATACACACTGTGGTCCATACAGATAGCAGAATATAATCTGGTGC